CCTACACACTTCTTATTTCATTTAATAACCTAAACAAATAAAGAATAAAGATTTAGAGATTTAAAAGTGCGTGGTTGAGAGATGATTCAAATGCAAGAATATGGAAAATGAAGGGAGGAACCAAAATAACATAAACTCCATATCACGGAGTAATCAATTCAAAATGGAAAATGGAAGTCGTGGAGATCGATGCTTCTGAGTAGCGGTGAGTCAGTTCCTCCATCTTTTCACTTTCAGAGACTCTTCTATCGATCTCCTCTAAACAGTAGGCAAACCTAATTGTGAGCATATGAGGACCAGGCAGTTGATGAAGTAGTGGATGGTGAGAATCTGTGGTTCTAACTTCTACTCAATATTATACCCAGTCTTGGAAAAAAAAAGTTACCCAGCCCAATACGTGCACCAATTTTGGGCGGGAACTTTTTCCTGCTACCTTTGTAAATAGGTAGATTCTAAGCAAACATAAATCACCTTTTTCAAACATACCTGAAGCTGGGACTCCAAAAGAGATGAATCTTTACAAAGTATTTGTCTAAAATCATAAGGTAATAAATGGACATAAAATAAATAATTCATAAAATTCTTGTAGAAAAACCAAAGACTCTTAGTAATTATTATTTTAATAAATTGATTGAAATAAGTTATAGAAAAAAAAAGTTAGAAATATTTAAATATGGATAAGAATTTCACCTGAGCCTAAACCAAAGGAAATGGTTTGGGACCAAATAAGCTTGATTAGAACCATCGGGTTGGCAGGGTCTCATAGGGTGTATTAGAAACTTTCTAGAGTATCATAGTAGCATTAGAAATTGGAATTCCAATCACATAACTCATTGAGACATTTCACCGAACAGGTGGTGATTCCTCTTTGCCTATGCGAGTCTTCAAACTGAAAAAGGACAGGACCTTCCTCGGACATTAGGGAACATTTACAAAAAGGGTAAAACAATACATTGAAATTAAAAAGAAGAAAAAAACAGCGAGCTTTCTACCTAAACATCTGCGAAGAACTTTTGTAGTTTTGGGGTGAGAATTTTTCTCCAGACTCTAGAAATTAAGCCACGATAGAGCATACCTGGGAAGATTATCAAAAGAGCAAATTGACCCTGAAGATGTGAAAGGAAGCTATGGAGGAGGTGCTGGGGAAGATGAGACGCGATGCAATAAGAAAATCAGCTGTTGAGATCCCGACTTTACAAATTAAGCCACGAAATTGTAGAGGAAGATGATCAGAAGAATCGACCCTGAAGATGCTATCGAGGAGATGCTGAGGAAGATGAGATTGAGATGGGATAAGAAAATTACCGATAAATGTTTAGTGGAGTAGTGCTCTACAGTTAGAAGAGAGAGAGAGAGGCATATGCACTAATGCACGGTTTGGCGATTTGATCGGGCAAGTTACGGACTAATTATTTATTTTTTTATTCACGCTATTGTAAATAGCGAGATTGAGTTATTTTAATTATGAAATAGAGATTTTGACTTTTTTTATCAAACAATGATACTCTTTAATCATAAATTGGAAAAAAATGTATACTTAGTTTTAACTTAAATTCAATATAATTGATTTTATCTTATGACATAGTTTTGATATATCAAATTTTTATACTCCGTAACATTTATTTATTAAAAATATGTTTAATTTATAGTTAAAGAGTGTCACTGTTGGACAAAAAAGTCACAACATAAAATATTTCATATGATACATTTAAAATAAAATTCAAAAATTGAACTATTTAAAAATACATACTTTAACTCACTTAGAATATTTCATTTTGGATTTTAATTATTTTTTAGATATATTTAACAATATTATGAATAATATATATACAAAACTAAACATGTACCACTTTTGAAAAAAGTGTAAGATAATAATGTGATATCATTAAAAACTCTTTAAAAATAAAACTTTATTTTTAATACATTATTTTACATATTATAGTATATGATTTCGAAAAACTCTTGCGTTAGCGAATCGATCATGTTCGGTCAGGTTTGACGCATTTTTAGCGGATCATTTCAGGTTCAGTCAATAAAATCTTTGTTCAAAATCGGGTATTCTTGGATTGGATCTCGGGTAAAAAATAAGTAAGGTCAATTTTTGTGAGGTCTAATCACATGTACACTACTCATTCTTAACAAGAATAAATACTCATAAAAAGTCATTCTAACATAATTAGATATTGACACCTATTAAATAAAATATTTATTTGACCTATAAATAAATTTTATATTTTTATGACACTTAATGTGTCACTTAATTTAAGGTAAAGAAAATGTGAATTCAATGTTTTGGAATACAATCTTTGAATAAATTTAATTGTTAAATTTTTATGAAAATACTCTTTCCAATACAATACAATATTTTTTACTCGCTTCATTTATAAAAAAAATTTGATTAATAAATAAGATGATTTTTTCACATTTAAATAATATTCATACAAGTATTAGTTTATTATACTTAAAATGAAATTAGTCTTGATTCTATTTATTTTAATAATAATGTACAATTAAAAAGAAATAATACATTTCAATAGCTAGATTAAAAAAAATTAAAAATCAATACATGACTGGACTAAAATTGAAATTTTTTTAAATAAAAACAAAACATTCTCTTCATAAATAAATAATATACGAAGTATTATAAATTTGTTTATGATATGTTATACTAAGTTAGTTTTGATTCTATTTATTGCAATATTGATGTAAAATTAAAACATATAAAATATTTTAAAAATAACACTAAATTATTTATAAAACAAGCGATGACTGGACTATAATTGTGTTAAAATAAAAAAAAAAATACTATATGTAATTTCATAGTTCGAATATATTGATTGTTATGGTTTGATTTTAGTACTAGACAATTTAAATTCCAAAATATTTAATTTTTCATGATATATTATGATATAATATTCTTAATTAAGTCATATAATACAATTTTTCAACATTACTGAGTAAATATAATTAAGGAATAGATAAAATCAATTTTATTAGAAAATACAAGTATTTTTCCAATTTTATATTTTTTCATTTCATTTATAATTAAACTATCAATGAATAAATTAGATTCCCTTCTCTAAAAAAAGATACTTTCTTAATCTCTAATGCAAACAGTTAATCACTAACTCTGATGCAAACGCTAAACTTTAACGTTGTTCCCATAAATAAATTCATATTTATTTATGACATGTTTAAATAAAGTTAGTTTGTATTTTATTTATTTTCAATATTAATGCAAAATAAAATATAAAAAACATTTTAATCTCAAATTAATACTAGACTAGACTAATCTCAAATTCCATCCATATGGATGGTTCTAGACACAAGTTAACCCCTAAAGAGTATAGTATATTTCACTTATCTGAATTTATTGGATACGATGGAAAGTTATTCTTTTTTCGATGATAGAGGACTACTGTCAGCCATGCTTGAGGTTATATCATATCTCTCATTCCCAAAGATGCAATGGTGTGTCCGAGTTCTGATTCTTCATGCCAAGCAGGTTCAGATGTAGGTGTTGATGACGATTAGATAACAGTTGAGTTTTTAAATAATTCAAATGTTCAAAGATTCCAAACCACAAAAATAATTTTTAAAAACGGGGTACCAATTATATTATTGGGGAACATTGACCAAACATCTGAATTATGTAATGTTACAAGATTAATCATTGAAGAGCTACGAAAGAGCGTTATCGATGCTTTTATGGTTTTGGGAAATTCAGTCAGGGAAAAAGTTTACATACCTTAGATGAATTTGGTACTATCTGATCTAATTACTCCTGAAATTCTAGAAAAGACAATTCCCAATAGTCTTATCTTTGCAATGACTATCAAAGTCAATGTCAAATATTGTCATTTGTTGGATTATTTTTAACCAATTAAAAAGATTGAAAATAAATAAATAACAAATGACAAAAGAGTCAAGACAATGACAGGATTAAAAATATTATTTCCAAATGACAAATGAAACCATTGCAACCATACCAAAAATGTTATATAAGCTGAAATTTATCATAAAAATTGGTATTAAAAAAACTTTGTTGAGTACACATTCAATTCCTCAAATATTATTTATTCTACTTTGGCATTTTTGTCTATAGTATTAAAAATCGTGTCAGAATTATATAATTTTTTTGAAAAAATATTGCATTGAAAAGGTTTCAGAATCAACAAAAATTTAGTTCGACCCCGTGCGTCGCACGGGTTAGAATACTAGTAATTAGAAAGGTTTCTCTCCCGACTTGAGTGGTAAGAAGTTTACTCTCCAAGATTTATGAGAAAGTTCATTCTGGTTTGAATCCCAATAGATGCAAAAGCACTGACTCTTTATAGCTCATTAGATTAAAAAAGTATGAAGAGATACTACATTAAATTTTAATCGAGACAATAGTACTCAAAAAATAACATTAATTAGAGAGTTTAACCGTCATTCCAACAACATATTTTCTTAAATATATACTCTATATTTTGTAGTAATTTAGATATAGTTTAGGTCCATGGAAATATAATTTTCATATTTTAAAGAATATACAAATAATTAACATTTGAAATTTGGATAATTTAATTTCATGTATAGATTTTTTATTGAAAAATTTACCTAAGTAGGACTAAAACATAATGACTTTCCCAATTTAGGACCATATGTTTTTATTTTCCAATGTAAGACTTTTGGTCATTAAATAGTCATTATTCAAGTAAATGTCCATTATTACTGGACATTATTTTTCCCATTAGGTCATTATTAAGTCCTATTTAGGGAATAAAAAAATTTAAGTCCTACATTGGGAAAGTCATTATGTTTTAGTCTTATTTAGTGCAAATTTTACTTTTTTATTTTCTTCCTTGTATATATCATGAATTCATCATAGCATATCATTTGTCTGCACCCTCAACAATCTCGTTGTTTATTTTATGCTAAGGTACATATTTTGATCACATAACACTTCTTATGAAAATTAAAGAGTCTTTGATCTCTTGAATTTAAACGTGATGATCATCATGTCCTTTTTTTTATTACTCCATATATATAAGAGGCATTGCATGGTGTTCTTCGTCGAACGCAATCACAAACACTATAAGGATCGGAATATATTCACGATTTTCGGGCGTAACAGATCGCTTTGAGTTCTACTTCAAACCTTCCATTATGAAGGAGATGGCAATGGAAACCAATTCAGTCTGATGTGATGTGTAAAAATGGTCAGCTCCTTCAATTATGTGCAACTTATGGTTTGGTATGACCTTGTCAAACTCTAAAGCATCTCCAACCGGATTGATCTCGTCTTTCGATCCATGAATGGTCAGTACCCTGCACACATATTACATGTAGTCCAAACGCGTTCGAGCTTGTGGTTTTAGGCACAGTAAAGATCTTACATGTACTTTTTTAGTAACCTGCATGATTTGTCAAGCTTGGCACATGCTTCATGCATGTCTCTGCTTAGCTGATCCATCATTTCTTCTTCGGTAACACGGTGTTCGACTCCTATAAACCAGCCATCATTGTTAGTTTTTAAAAGTTCAGACATTAAAATGCAATTCTTTCTTGGGAAAGAAACTTGAAAACAGGGTAAGGGTATTGCAAAAAAAACCCCAAGTTTTAAGGGGAATGGACAAACCATCCTTGTCAACGACACATATGAATCCGTCGGTCTTGAGTCTTTGCATGTAGTCTTTTCCAAAAAACACATCAAAGCCTCTATGCACATCGTAGCGAGCCGAGACATTGACCACGGTATGAACGTAATGATACTTTGAGGCATATAGCAGCGCGACATCGCCTCCTGCAATATAAGGTTTGTAAGTTGAAATATTTGCAATAAGTAATGACCAATGGATAATGACTAAAAGTGTTACATTCGGAAAAAAAACACATGTGGTGCTATTTATGTAAAGTCATTATGTTTTAGTGCTATTTATGTAAATTTCTCTTGTAAGTTCAGGGTAAGACTCATACTTTAGAACAGGAACATTTGGGTCTGAGAGGGTGAAGCGCGAGATTCGAGTCATCAAAAGAAAGAAAGAAGAAAGGAAATGCGTAAAATGAAATGGAAGATGCAATGGAATTGTATTTCACAGACCATAAGACTCAGAAAAGCTTATTACTGTACTTTGGTCAAGTGGAAACACCTTTGCTATGCCCAACAATGGCAGCTACTTTGAGCTTTTGCTCAGTGAAGTATTCCACCACAGAACGCAAATCTTCAGCCTCTCCCTGGCAGCGGCAATACTTAAACGTGCCCTCGCTTTCCCTGACAAGCAATTGCTATTCTAACTCATGTTTGTCTTTAAAGAAAATTGACAATAATGTTAAAAAAACAACTCCTCTGTCTCAAAATAAATGTGCAAAACAGATACCCGACTCCAGCGAAGTCAAAGCGAAATTATTTCGTTCTCCTGCAGAGACATAGAAATGCGCAAAAAATAAAGACAACGAGCAAGCAAGCCTTAATAATTATTCCCAAACCAATGGGGGTGAAAAACAATGTAGTCCAATATAGGGAAATGGAGTACGTCTTATTTGTATACCCGAAAAGCAATTAAAGAATACGATATATAGTCTACTTGGCATCTTCAAGGCATTATATACGCACTAGACATGAGATGAACAAGCCATGGCCAGATTGAACTTAATAACAATGTCAAGGAGTCAATTCAATCAAAAGCTGAAGCGTATAGTTTTAAGCCCAAAAAAACTTTTTAAATTGTAACACTTCCTCTCACGTGCAGGCGCGGTCACTTCAAACAACCAATAAAAATTTACAGACCTTAGTGCACCCGTAACCATGACACAGCACCACGATATCCAGAGATCCAGTGTTATGCAGCACACCCACAAGTTTGTCATTGTCCTTGTTTGGTATGCTAATTCTCTGCTGCGCAAGGCCTGCATCATTAGAGCATTTACATTGCACATTTATTTGTTAGTGAAAAATGATTTCCAAGGAAAAACATTTTCTCCCATTAAGGGGGGAATGATGATTTTCTTCCCCACATTTTTCCATTGTTTGATAGAAAGCAAATTAATTTCCCCCAAAAAAAATCACTTTTAATGGTTAAGATTTCAAAATTGGTATTCTTAAAATTATTTTGAAGATCATTTTAAACTGTTTCAGGAACACGGGGGCGGGTGGCGTTGGTTGCTAAACTATTCTCTTAAGGGGTAAATCTTCTCTCAGATCTCCACTTTTTAGTTGATTGTTAAACAACTAATTTATCTTCGCATTAACTTCACAAAATTAAAGAAATCACATTTTTTTATTTTAAGAATGAGTTCTATCTACTATCATCTCCATAAATCTGAAACACACCATTTCACATTTTTCTTTGAGCTATGCAAATGAAAACTTAGGTGGGAGTGGGAGAGTAATAATAAACATATATGTATATGATCAAAGCAAGGAGAGTAGAGCTGCAGAAAAGTCAAACCTGGGCTTGAATCCATCTCTGTTGATGGCGTGGTGGATATATGGTAGGTGTAGAAGATTGGAGAAATTCAATGGATGGGTGTGGGAAAAAATTGGCTTCTTGCTAAATACTGCCAAATCCACTAGGTAGGTTCTTGTTTACTACCGTATTATCCAAGAACATAGTTTATTAATTTTGTTTGTTTTTTTATTACTCATTTGATAAAATTAAATAGTACATTTTGGTATTTTTTTAATAATTTTAATAATTTATTTTTCTTGATGGTAATATAATTTTGACTACATATATTTTTAAGTTTTTTTTGAACTTTCAAATATGTTGAATTGAACGTAATACAGAGACATAAGTTTCATTTGATAAAATTAAATAGTACATTTTGGTAATTTTTTAATAATTTTAATAATTTATTTTTCTTGATGGTAATATAATTTTTACTATATATATTTTTAAGTTTTTTATGAACTTTCAAATATGTTGAATTGAACGTAATAATAAGTTTATTTGAGACAAAAGAAGTATCCAATATATTATATTAATGGATACCCTATACAAGGAATATCAGACCCAGTCATTATTGAAGCCAAGAAGAGAGGCCCGGGGAAAGAAACCAAAAAGCACGGAACATCACCTAAGCACAATCGGGTTGGCATCATACTCTAGGTCAACGGCCAGATGAATGCGATCAACCCTCAGGGTCAAACTACAAGATCTGAGACTTGGAAATTGAGGAAAAGACATACTATTCCTACACCCTATCCAAATCAGAGATTCACAGTAGACAATTATACGTTTGTAAAATATGTCTGTACGGTGGATGTATCCGTATAATGTATGTACCAAGTAAACAATATATTCCGCGTACTATAGAAAAGAGGTCTCATACCCAATGGGTCTAGTATAGACCTTGTCCATTACAACAGCTACGAAACAATCATGTAAGACATATGGCTCATATAAATACTTTCCTCCATTCATGAGAGAGGGCACACATCATGTAATAATATGGTACACTCTCTTATCTCTTTCACAATCATGTAATAATATCACACTACATTACATTACTTAATGTAACAATCATGTAATAATATCACACTACATTACTTATGCTTAGCTCTTTCACAACTCTTCTTAGCCTAGTCTGATCTAGGCCCGAATTCCTAAACTCCATTACGGAGTATATAATATGGTACACTTGAGCATTTTTGAGCATTTCAAAAAGAAATATTCTTTATGCAAAACGATTAGTCCTTACAAAACTATATGGAATAGTAGTAGTAGTAGTAGTGTAGTAATAATAATACTCCGTAGTACGTAATAATAGCAACATATGTAAACATGATCAAACAAAATGGAACAATCATTATTTAGAGCAATATTGAGCATAGTACCTGGAAAAACATGGTAAAAAAAGATTCCATGACCAATGTGATACTCCACTAATGAATGTAAATAATGTTTGTAAGAAATCTAGGGAAAAATTTGATGCAACATTAGTAAGCAAATTAGCAAATGCAGCATGAAAATAAATAACAAAACAGACAAAAATAAGTTAAAGACAAAGATATTGAAGTATTGGTACGTTTCCAATTACACTCCAGGATGAGTAATGAGACTTTACTAATTGAAATAGTTTCAACACTTTTTTTTAAATAGTTTTAAGTTTTAACACTCTAATCTCAATTAATTTGTCAATTTTTGTATATGATATTTGGCATATTTCCAATTTCTTAAAAAATTATTGCAAAATTAAAAAATTAAAATAATAAAATTTAAAACTGAGAATTTAAATTCTGTAGAATTCATTTAGATGGAATTAAAAATATCCAATAATCATGGTTTTGGCATCTACGGCCAAAATTATAGTTTTCCTCCACAGAACGTAACTCGTGGAAAGCAAGAGCCGGGGTGCAGTAATAGAATAAACATTGATAATATAGGTATAAATATAATACAAACGTAATGATAGATCCAGACCGTGAATCCAAGAAAAACGTTTTACTCCACAAGAGACCACCAAACTACTCTCCTTTGTCTCAACAGAAAAAAAAAACACATGACTGACAAAAGAACCCAAACACAAGGATGACAGATAGATATACCGACAAAAAAATTGAAACATAGGATCAAAATTTCATCACCGCAAGACATCGAAAGCACCAACCACACACAATACAAGGCCACTTCTCCTTCATAACCATCATCAGCCTTACTGCTGCTTGCACTCCGGAGGTCTCTCGCCCTGCGGGCCATCAACTGCATTGGTTCTTCCAGATTTCTGTTGATTTGGTGCACAATTTAAACAATAATCAAAAGGGCATACCCGTCATGCAAGTCCAAAGGTTAATGAAACTGCAAGAAATCATGAATTGCACAAACTAAAATTGAGAGCATACCTTGTTTGAGGCGGGCGTCTGCATAAAAATTACATAAACCAAGAGGATTAGTAACAGATACAAGGCCAGCAAGCCAAAACAGCAAGTTCATCGAGCTACTAATATTCTTAATACCTTTTTCTTGACGACAGCATCTTCATCTTCATCCTCATCTTCATCCTCGTCTGTTTCCTCCTCATCGTCATCTTCATCATCTTCGTCGTCATCATCATCGTCATCGTCCTCATCATCTTCCAATCCATACTCTTCCTGAGCAGCTTCACCCGTGAACCAAGACACTGCATGTGGAATGATTTTGTCTCGGATAGTTGACCTGCACAATATAGTTAAATTAGATAGTCGGCAAAATGATAACCACAAAATAGAAGGAAATGTGTAGATTCATCATTGCATTTGTCTATTTGATCCAGACTAGACTCTAACCCAATTTCATAGTCTTGTTCCATCATAGCCTGGAGCTCATCTGCCTGTAGAAAAATGAATGAATAATCAATTTACAAAAGAATAAAAACAGCATACAATAAAAAAATGCAATTCGGCTCTTACAGCATCTCTATCAAGATCATCTTCATCCTCCGGCACTTGAGGCGGACTAAAGAAATTGAAGAAACTGTCACACTTTTCAGTTCTAGTAATAGGTTTAGCATTCTTAGATCCCTTCTTAGGCTTCTTCTTCAGTATCTTCTGTGTCAGGGATTTTCCGGGATACCATTCTATCTCAGTGCTGGAAAAAGTTCACATATGATTGCAAGTTAATAAAAGCACAAATAAAAATACATTTACAAACCAGTAAGTATAAAGAATGAGGCTGGTTAACAAATACTCCGTAATAAATCGTAAAACATAACAAAAACAAAAACAGATTATCATTGGATGAAACTCTACCCAATTGCTTTCTCTAGAATTGGGTCATCTTCATCAATCATGTGATAGACTTTTTTCAAAACAGAGTTCTTGAAGAATGGATTAGTGTCAAAGAAGAATTCAAGTTTAAATCCCTTTGGCTCTTCCATCCTGGACCACTTAATGTCTTTCAAAAATTTGAGGGCCTCTTCATCTCGCTCTGTTATCTGGAACATATAAGAATATAGATATAACAAAAGATGTATGTGGATCCATCAAATTAGTAAAAACATATAAATGAAGCAAAGCACAACTCTCTAATGCCTAACCTCTTCACATAGCACTTCATTATTCTTCATTGCAGTAAGCCAAAACTCAGGGACTCCTTTTTCTAAATGCAGAGGAAAATGTTTAGCAATTAAAAGCAAAATAATGATAAATATGGCATGCCAGCATCATGACATACCTCCATCTGTAGCAGGGCTTTCAGATACATCCCCTTCAACATCAACAACTCCATTTACAATGTCATATCTCTGTTTTCAGCCACAAGCTTTTTAGCATATGAAACATTATATGCATGTTGTACAACAATTTCAATTAGTTAAGGACCTTTGAATACAGTGGTTGATAAAGCTTCTGGTACTTTGCTTCAAGTGCTGCTCTCTCTTCATTGAACTTCTCTTCCAGCTCATCATGTTGAGCCTGAGAAAGCAAAGAAATCAACAACAATAATAATAATAATGTTCAAAATAAGTATTTAGCACATTGAATGCAATGGGAATTTCATTGAGATCCCTCAAGTGAATGATGAGCTAAATTAGTGCCTCCCTTTTCAAATGTGAGCAGAAAGCAGACCACATGTCATACACCAATATATTCTAAGTTTCAGAACCCATATATCAGGAACCAGGAGAGACAATATTATACAATTATACAAATAACATAAAATGGCACTCCATATGCCTCAAATGAATGTAACGTTTACAACTTGTATAGAAATTTAAGTGTAGCTGTTGAACATACAGACTTTATTTACCAACCCAACCCTAGTATATCCAGCTCAAGGGTAATTTACATGGAGGAGGTGGCCTCAATGAAATTCAGCCCGAGTAGGGAGCAGTAGCAGAGCCAAAGAGGAGCAATTGACTGCAATTGCAGTCAATCCATTTTTTGGTTTTTAATATACACACACACACACAAACACATACATGTATGTATGTATGTATGTATGTGTATATATATATATATATATATATATATATATATATTAATACACCCCCCTAAAATCTGACATATATATATATATATATAGGGGCCGGTTCCTGTGAGAATGCACCTTGTGGAGAGAAATGAGAATAAAATCTAGCCGTCGGATCTGATGCATCGTGCGGCTCAGATTGCATCCTGCGCTCAGATTTTGAGATAATGCATTTTCGAAGGTTTATGGTGCATTTCGACGTGATGCATTTTCGCACCATTTTAGTGCATCTAATTTTGATGAAATCTCGGCCCTTAGATCTCACAATCTAAAGCACCAGATTCATTCTCATTTCTCTCCTAAGATTGCATTCTCACCAGAACCAAAATCTATATATATATATGTATATATATGTATATATATATATATATAGACATATGGATTAGAGAGGGGAAACAGAGCAGAGGGGGCAGAGGCGGTCTAGTGAAGACGTGTCGTATGTTCTACTTGAACTTATTTAAATAGCGAGTATATCAATTGATAATATGATTTTTTTCTCTACTGATTTGGTGTTATTTTTAATATTTTCTGTTTTTTATAAAATTAATATGAGGATTGTGCTCAACTCAACACATGTTTTTTTAAATTTACAGTTTTGATAAAGAAATTGTACAGAGTATATAATATTTCTTAAAATACTTGCATTTAAATTATATGAATGTTAGTTTGACATAAAATTCATTAATTTTGTTATTGTTTTATACTCCGTGTTATATTTTTAAATAAATATTCAGGGCACGACTCACAAACTCTCACGAACTCCCGGTATAGCACCCACTAACCCTTGATCTTGGCTCCGCCACTGGTAGGGATGTAATTTAAGAGAGGGCCAGCATATGCACTTTTTTCTGATGCTACATTAAATATTGCAAGAAAAATAGAATCATTTTGACTTTGGTTATAGTAAATTACATTAATCAATTTTAATACATGTTAATCATTTGGTTTGTTAGTTAAAGTCTTCTCATCCCATAAAAGATTGGGATCCTCTCTCTATCCCAATCAATAGTACAATCTTATACAGTCAACCAATTAGAAACTTAGTATATGCATAACCATTCACAACACAAGGAAGAATCCTAAATCCAATAAAAAATGAGCATCAAATTTACATGCCTGGACTTCCCTGAGAACCTCAACACGCTTTCTCACATTAGGAGACAGGTTCTCAATCTCAATAGAGTGCTTCCCAGTAAGATCCTGAAGCTTATGCTGCAATTTATTCAAACACATTGAGATTATTTAGAAAAAGTACTCATAAATGTATGATTAGGTTAGAAAAAAAAGCCATAATACGTTCATATTAGCTAAAAAATCATAACAGGAAATCTTACTTTGAGAGCACTGACAAGATCAGCTTTCTCCTCCGAATTCAAAGCTGCGCAAAACATAATTCAGTCAAAAATAATTCCAATGCTGTGGTAAATAACAGCAGCTTCGTAGAATGACGAAGTAGAAAGAACAATCGAAGCTACGCAAAACGTAAATCAAACAAAAATACAGATTTCGCAGACGAAAAAGCACGGCCACACACACATATTTGAGCATTGAGCCTCAGAAACTTACCAACACGGAGATCGGACATATCGGGACCTTCTCTGGCGTCGCTCATGGCTGATGAAGGAAGGAAGAACGGAGATCAACAACTAAAACCCTAGCGTGTCAGGCGAGAACGAAGAGAGATAAATCGCCTAGATTTAAGCCCACTTTGTGCGCTCGTTTTGCTGTCTCCTTCCGCCTCTCAAAAACCTAGCACCTTCAGAGGCTATTTATATCGCAGCTCAAGAGGACGGAAGGGCCTTTGGGTATTTCAGTAATTTCATGAGATAAATAGGGACTTAGGGAGATTAAAAGTACAATCATTTTATTCATGTTAAATTTTGAGAGGTTATGTTGTTAAAAAAATGTTTAACAAGTTGAATGGTTTGTGCTAACTTTTTGAAGTTTTACATAGGGAGTAGTTGATATTTATTTCGTCTTAAAATAATCTTTCTAAACACTATTCACATGATCAAATTTTTATCATTTCATGTACATATTTTTGTTAGTTATTTAGTAAAGTAATAAAATCATATCACCTATTGTTTTTAGACCTTTTCATATAGTTTTAAAATATATAATTGTTATTTTTTAATCTAACACCTATAATCAAATGATTTAATTGAAAATAATTTTAATCAAATCTCGTAAATCGAACTGGGAAAATCATTTTAGGATGGAGAGAGTACTTCGTATTTTTATGCTCTACAATGAGCGAATGCTTTCGCTAGAGCTCGAACTTAGGTGAACTTCCATATGAACCTTATAGACCAAGCTTCTTACCATTAAGTCAAGAGAAAAGTTCTTGTATTAATTTTACAAAAATTTAAAAATATCTTAAGAAGTGAATTTTTTTAAAATAAAAAGTACGTGAGTGAAATTGGGAATCTTGGTGTCCACCCTCGTATTCAACACCCCAATGGTTTCTCACAGCTCTCCCACGTCGCTTCCCATTCGATAGGGAGAAGTTACTTGCTTCTAGGAATGGTGGCGGAATTTTGAGGTGGTCGAGGACTCGGTCTATCGGCTCATGATGAGGGTCCTCAAATCTTCATGTTTGAACGAATAGGTATAATTCAAACGATCAAATATCGATACCCGCTGCCGTTTGGGATTCGGGTCCTCTAGCCTATCAAATTAAAGGCATAGGCGCGTTTGTACGAGAACTCATCCCCCTCCACGATTTCTAACACATCCTCCATGGGTGCCTTCCCATTGGCCTTGCTTGTCTCTACTTCTGGGAACGTCATGTGCTCCTCCCCCCAAGGTGGAGAGGGCAACAAGGTCAGCCTTGAAATTCTCGATATCGATGATGATTCCAATCCCATCTACAATACGTTGGGCTTTGTCACAAGTGATTGGCGGTCAGGCGCCACCGCTTGCACCACTATCTTCCCCCTTAACATTGGGGTTGTTGGTGGCATGGTGAGTGTTGCTCCATGTTTACACCATTTTTATTTTGTTGGAGATAACTTCGAGTGTAGCCTCTCAAGCTCTTGATGAAATCACAATTTGATGGAAGACCGAATCAGATTATCGAGTAAATGAATGAAAAGTAATATGAAAAAGAGCTTGAAAATACGATAAAGGAGCAGGCATCTTGTAACTGAATTAAGGGTGTCGTTTGCAATGACTTCTACCTCTATTTCTAAGTCCAATTTCGGGAGAGTACAAAAAAGTGTTAAGCATGGAAGTGTTAAGCATGGAAGGTTCAATCAGCCTTGCACTCCCATTCAATAAGCAATCTGGCTGGTAAATCTCGAGAAAATGAGGTGCTTCCTTCTTCGTACGTGGATGGGTTGAACACTTGTTCTTTGCTCACATGGGCTTGGCTTACCAGATGACTGCCTCGCTCTAGACGAAGTTATTATCCTTGCGGGCTCTCGTTAGGGATTAGACAAGGCCTGGACTCCAAAGGTCCAATATCCTATTAGGTACTCCGTAGTATTTCTAGTTATGACACTAATAGAATTTTACTTATTTGATATTTCCTCTTCTTATTTAAAGAGGGGATAGCGGATAGTCTTTGTACTCAAGAAAAATTTAATATACAGAATATTTTTTCTTATTTTAATTTTATTACTCCGTAGAAAAGAACAAAAATAATGACCTAGAGTTGTCAACCAAAATTGTTGTTTTCTACATGTCTCGAATGCGACATAATAGCCATTAACAATTACTTCCTATGTCACATAAATATATTATAATTTTGTTCCCTCTATAAAAAAAATCTTTCTTTTTAGAGTAAAACAATTATGAACGAAATCTAACTACATCTTTTTTTATTCTCAACACTTTCTTAAATTCTATAAAATTCTGAATGAAAAATTTGTTATGAGGCAGAGGAAGTATTCATAGATAATCAAATGTTATAACATTTGATATATGAAAACTACATTGTAAAATGAAATCAATGATATCAATTTTACATTATGATTAAATACGTAGTTTTTAAACCACAAACCATGATTGAACTATGTAAACAAGTAAAAAATTTATCCATACTCTTTTTAAAAAGACATGTAGTCAATATATGGTTTTCCCGCCCAAAGAGTATGTCAATTATAAATGGCAATTGTGAAGTTAAAATGGTAAGCGGCTGAAATTATAGTAATAATTATTATAATTAGTATATTTATAATAATTAAATAAAGGTAAGTTAAAATGGCCGAAAGGTAAGTTAATAATTGCAGTGGCCGAAATTATAGTAATAATTATTATAATTATTATATTTATAATAATTATAAAATGGCCGAAAGGTAAGTTAATAATTGTGAAGTTAAAACGGTAAGTAGCCAAAATTGTGAAGTTCTAATTATTAAAAAAAGGTATAAATATAATAATTAACGTATTGAAAATTGTAATTAAAAAAGTTAAGTTATACAATTATACACCCAATTTTGAAAAAAATAATTATGGTAAGAATAATTATACACCCAATTTCGATAAAAGTTAACCCTTATTATAATTATATTTATAATAGCCTATTACAATTAAATATACTCTAATTATTCTCAGAAATTGTACAATAATGTAGTCTATAAAGAAAATCTTTCAAAATTTGTAAAACAATGATGTTTTTACCTTAAAATAATATAATCTCTATATTTTATTGCATCTCATTTTTATCATTGATAAATGATTTAAATTTAGTAACATAAAAATGACTCATGCAACGCACGAGTGTGATACTAGTTTCTGGAAAAGAGAGGATACAAAAAACCATTAGTAATATTTTTAGGGTAAATCATTAGTAAATTACTCCGTACTAATTTTTTTTTTTTGATCAAAAAAAAAAAAAAATTAGTACTTTGTACTAAATTAGTTTCCAATAATCTCGAATTTGAGTGGTCTTCCAAAAACAATAAATCCGAGTTGTAGTGTTGCAAAAAATAATCCAAAGTTTGCATCTTCCAAGAATAACCCGCCATCGAACGTCGTTTTGCTTTCTGCTAAGTTTTTGAAAAATATGTTTTGACTGAATCACTTTTTAGCAAAAAGTGTATACTCAAAGATTGTACACAGAAAAATTCTGATCTTGAACTGAATTAGACCAAAATAATCTCAACCAATTTTTATTGTTATAAAACGGCACATTTAACAGCTAAAATGCACCAAGGTCAAAGGCACTATTACTACATTATCAATCCACCAAGTAACAATTGTGAAAGAAAGAAAAAAAGAACTACTCCCTATTATCTTAACACATAGGTATAGACTAAAGGTACTAGATTTATTCCCCAGCCATCTTATTGTATTTTGGCCTATTTGGTAAATAGGTGAAGAAAGGAAACAACAAAAAAAAGCATCAAAAGGAGAGAGAGAGGAAGTGATACAATATAGCAAACACACTTGTTTCCAACACCTTTCATTTGACAAGAGGGGCTTCTTGGTCTTTTTTTGAGTTCTCAAATGTCACACGTCCGGTCATAGGATCGACCTGACGGTTGTCTCGGGGCCCACCTTTTCGTCCCATAGCAGTCATTGGCGGCGGTGGCAACACACCTGCTCTAAAAAGAAGACGCTGAACGGGTTCGGATGCCTGTGCACCCACTGATAGCCAGTATCTGCATATATATATACGCGCAAGCATGGTGAATTGGACTATCGGAGGGTGAGCAAAGATATGGTTTGACCTTGTAAATAGTGAAAGTGAAAATTTAGGGACGGAGGAGTACTATTTAATACTCATATCATTTTAAAACTTTTACTCTACTTTACAACCCCTATACAAAATGTATCTCCAACCATAACCAAATGGTTGAAAAGGGAATGGCAATATTGTAAATAATTCACAACTTAGTATCTCCGAAGTCCAAAACGACACTTATTGTGAATTGGAGAGAGTATCACGGAACTCGGCGATTATAAGCTAACACGTCCTTAATCTGTGGCTTTATTACTTTTATGCAAGATTGTATTCGTTGTCTTCATAATATAACTTCCATTAGACTTCTAGAATCTAATTCTACTCTATGCACAAGCTTAAATGAACTTGGAAGTCATGATAAAAGTGCATTACAACAAGTAAACGCAAATTCACTTACTTCACCCTTTCAAAGTTAAGACCCATTCTTTTACCACCATCTTGACCTAAATAATAAATCATATATGCACCGTTAGCTTCTTAAAGAATTATCACATTAAAAATAATATAAGAAGAGATGATAAAAAATACAAGAAATAGTGGCCAATTATAACACATGATTTCATGTCCTTAAAAGTTAGTGCATAATCATAGATGACCAAAGCACATGATATAAACATCATGGATGGTGAATTGATGATATGCACTAACTGAATTTTCCCGAATAAAATTTGGACTGTGGCGGTAGCCCTTAAGCAAATCATGTGCACAAGAATTCGACCCTAATATTGAATCGCATATTACCCTCGTCTGGATCTCTCTACCAAACCTATATTTGATGTTTTACAAAAAAGTGATACTATACTTCCTAAATCCAAACAAATATACGTTGAAAAGAAAATGAAGCAAGATAAAGACAAGGCAGTGGTAAGGGATGTAAGTCATGTAACCATGGGACAAGTGAGTGCAATAAAATCAATGGTGATCTGAATGTCAAGGACCGGAGAAAACAAAAACATGATGAGGTTCTACAGTAGTTATAGAAATGGAAAACGAGGTTGCTTAACCAGCTCATGAAGAACAAGTAAAGTTGATTTGGAGAAGGAAGGTGGGAGCTCTCAATTCTAAACACTTCAGAGACTAGGCATAACACTAAAACAGAGGATGAGAATGTTTGAAATTGGGAATAACTTCAATATATTGAGATTATGTGATGATATAGTTCCTCCAATTATTGATGAAGTGTTGGCTATTGCCTTTGGGAATAGCCTTACCAAGATATCACACCAAGTCAACAACAGTAAACTCCAAAGAGTGGGGTCTAGGGAGAGTGTGGGTATGCAGTCCTTACCCCTACTTGAAAAGTAGAGAGGATGTTTGATGTTTCCAAGAAACTCTTACTCAAAACACATGGGCATTACGACAAAGAAAAGTAGCACGAACAAAGTAAAAACACATACAAAAGCAAGCACACACACAAAAAAAAAAAAAGAAAACTTAGGCACAAAAGTACACATGCAGAAACTACAAACTCAGGCTCAAAGATCTACACTATTCCTAGACCTCCAAATGCTCCTATATAAGGTCATATCCTCTATAACATCCTAAAGTTATAAGTTCTGTCTAATCACTTCCTTCCATCTCTTCTTAGGTCTACCTCTACCCTTCCTAACACCCCTACCTTAAGCCTCACACTTTTTGCAGCTTATACTCCACAGAGACCACTCACACCCTCTATCAGATATCCTTGTTTCAGATTTTATCCATCCCCATATGGTTAGGAGTTCTGTTGATACTTGATAGTAAAGATAAATTCTAGGTGGTGGGGGTAAATAAAATCCCAAATGATAACAACTAACAGCTAACAACTAACAAGAACCAGGAAAGAACCACTCCAGTTTGTCCTAGAGTGGCAAGGCATGAAACCAAACCCCCTAATCTGCATGGAGCCCATGGCAAGTCATCTATTCTGGAATAGAGGTTTGTTGATGAAAGTGACTATAGAAGGACTATAAGGCATAAAGCCATTGTACATCTTCATAATATATCTTTCATTTTCCTGATAGAATCGCCTACGGTGGTAGTGGGCAGTTAAGAAAGTATGGATGCATCTTCATAATGTGTTGATTAAAGAAGTGGACATAATAATCATTATTGATTATGAAGAGTTTGCTTTTGAATATGAGGGTAATCAGAAGAAGCATCTTACAACTGCTGTTTATTCTAAAGCATCCCTGTACAAAGAAGGTCCTTTTCTGAGGGGCTTTGATGCTTATGTTGAGAAATGATATATATGATGGATTGATGGTAACCTGCCAAATCAAGTTTCAATGGTTCACTTTGGAATAACTTATTTGTAAGCCTAATTAGCTGAAATTCTTATGGGGTGGTAAACTTACTTAGCATCATGGATATACATGAGAAAAACTAGAGATGATTCTGGTGAACTAAGAATGGCTATCTTCTAAATTGAATTGCACTGCAGAAACACTCAAATGTGGATACTTCTGATCTTAACTCATCTTTTATATAGCTTAACTGATATATTAATGATCAATTTCTGGATATTTCTATGCATGATTTCTGTGAAAACTGAAATGGATCCAAGCTGAGTTAGCAGCCATTCAAGTTGGATCAGGACTGTGCAAAGATAATTGTTTTACAAAGATGACCGCGTTGAGTGTGATTTGAAGTTGACACTTGAGCTCATTGGATAAAGTGATAAACCAATGCGAAAGGGGGATGGATAACTCAGTATACCATTAGAAGGGTTGTCAGCTACTGAGCCAAACTGCGGATACTATTACTCAGACTTATAGAGAGTGTAATTAAGTGACTGATCATTTGGCAAAGCTAACTAGCTAAGACATGGATTTGGCTAACATTTTGTAATGAACACTTTGACAGGAAGCTTATTGGCCTGATTAGAACCGAAAAAACCAATATTCTATAAGTTACGAATGTTGCCTTTCGAACGAAAAAATGTAGAAAAAAGAAAATTGCCATTATTAGTCTAAATTCTACAGAGTAATGGTTTTTAGTTCCTTCTCCCAGAAACGACATAAACTTCAGTGATGTGAGAAAGGATGAACAATGAAGTACTGGAGATTTCAATAACAGTGTCAGTTGTGACATCAATACCTCTATTGCTTCTCATCAATCAAATATAGATTTATTAGAAAAATCAACAAAAAAAAAGTACACAAAATTCTCCAAAGAAACGGGTAATATATAACTCAATTACGAAAGCATAACCTTGAATGGCTTGATCAATTTCAAGTTAATTTTGACAGAATCAGAACAAAAACCAAGCCAATAGAGAAAACACTTGACATGCGTCGAGAAACCAAACCGAATATGCAACAATCAAACAAACGAGTTTCAAGGAACAGAAAAGGTGACACCTTTTTTCCTTGTTCGTGAATTTCCGGCAGTAATTGACGGCGAAAATGAGAGGTGCTTACCGGGTAAGGGATTGTAGTAGCCGAGGACCTCCAAATGCTTGCCGTCTCTGGGAGATCTACTGTCGGCGGCCATCACTCTGTAGAAGGGTTTGTTCTTGCATCCGAACCTCGACAATCTCAACCTAACCGCCATTTTTTTTGCAGCTGATGTCTATGACGACGATTATGATGATGCCAGGCAACAATTGTCGTAGACGACAGGAGGGTTTATGCCTATCCTAACCTCTTTTTCTTCTTTTTTTTCTTTTTCTTTTTCTTTTTTTCCAGCTGCTGCGTAATGTTTTCTATTGGCATACTCAGTTGATTTCTCTATAAACATGTGTTTATTCTCTATAATGTTGTGAGGATTTTTTTTTCTTTGGGCAAATTTTGTGATGATTTATTAACCAAGTAGTAGATGTGTTGCACTCACCTAGATATGTTCAAGTAATAATTATATTAATTAAGTTCAATATACTTAGTTTGATTGGTACGGACTACGTATTGGTTAGGGAAGACTCATAGTGTCTTCGAGCTCTTGAGAATATGAGATGAGAAAGAAGAAGAATTGAGGCGAAAGAGAAAATCGGCAAATCGAGTGGGGGAGAAGGAATTAGGGTTTTGAATTGTTTATTGATTGATTATTCTAAATGAAGTTACATCTCTATTTATAGGAGACTAGGAAACCCTAACTAACCATAAACCTAACCTAACGGTTTAATAAAAGTGACGAAGAAAAGAACCATAAAGAAATCTCGAAGGAGCTTATAATTCCGCTCACCTAATAAATTCTAAATTGCAATAATAATAATAATAATATTAAATATCATACTCTACTATCCATAACATTGATATTTTAATAAAATACATTAAAAATGTAAGTTAAATTCGTTTATCAAAAGACTGCCTATCTAAATTCCACAAAGAAATAGGTGAGACTACAACCCAATTCAGAAAAGAATTTTAGTATCCAAATTGATAGCAGAGACTAAAGGTCAGAACTTTACCAATTTTTTTACTATTTTGATTTTACACCATTTATTTTAAAAATGGGATAGTATCATAGTACCTCATGATGATATGAGAGCATTTGAAAATATGGTGAATTCTTGAGAAAACAAGAGTGTTAAATCAAAAATAAAAAATAATTACTTTTAATTTTATTAAAAGTACTCCAGAAATTTATTTACCCTTCTGAACTTATATAATTTATATGATTAAGCAAATTTTTAAACACTTAGAAGTTAGAACCATATTTTCATAAAATAGAATATCAAAAATGGTTCTCAAACACACCACCAAACACCTTCCAAAAACAAGTCACAAATTCAGACGTCAAATTTCGAAATTTGCCGGGAATTATTTTAGTATTATGCTATGTGTACCCCAAGATTTGTACCCCAATTTGTACCCCGCAGTTTTGCACCAACATTTTGTGTTGGTGTAAAACTAATTTTTGTTAAACGCACCGACATTTGTGTCCGTGTGAATTTTTATTAACGCACCAACACTTGTGTCGGTGTAAAACATTGAAATGTTTGTGCGAACATGTGGTGTACAAATGGGGTATATTTGTTGGTGTAAGTGTAGCATGGTCCATTATTTTATTCACTCCTTAGAGTCCCTGGCTTGAACATCTGTCCGGTTTAAGCGTTGGACCGGGAGCAGATTGCGGGGGGTGAGAAAAGGAAATAGACAAAAGTCGAGGGGGTGGATGAAGTGTGAGGATGAGAACTACAAATGGCAGCCGGAAAGAGAACGGTCCATTCCACATTTCTTTTCCATAATTAGCCATCTCTGCACTCCCAACACCGCCACCGCCCTTTCTTCCATAAATACCCCCCGCCCCCGCCCTTCCCTGCCCATAAACTCCGATTCCCACACTAAGCTTGGAATTCGAACATGGATTTACACGCCGCCGTGATGCCCGTCAAGGAAGAGCCGGTGGTTTATTTCCTAGAAGACGACGCCTTTGGCATCCCTGGCCCAGGCGGCGGCGGAGGAGGAGCAGGAGCAGGAGCAGGTCCTCCTAAAACGGCGGAGGGGCTCAGGGAGGTGGGACCGCCGCCGTTCCTGA